CACACACACACACACACACACACACACACACACACACACACACACACACATACACACACATACACTCTCCCTCTCAAACACACTCTCCTTCCCTCTCCCTCGCTCTCAACATGCTAGATGGCAAGCATCCCCTTTGAATTGCTGCCATGCATAAGCCACCACTTCACTGATTTTTGCATCTGACAGCTGGGATTGTGCCATGGCTCTTGCCACACCTGATGTTGACAGTTTGGCAGAGATTAGTAAGGTCGAAATTAGTTAAGTTTCCACGGGCTTTTGATCAAAATGCCTATTCAGCAGAGAAGGATGCCACTCTAGAGCTTGACATCAGCCTCACTAATTCTAAGGTCAAGGGAGCTGGGCTCCTGTGACACTGATCATCACACAGGCTTTGGTTATGCTAACCTTACGTGGGCACGGTACCAATTGCGCCTTGTCCTTAGCTAGCATCTGACCGCAATTTGTGTTTCTTTTTTTTTTTTCCCTTTTTAAGGTTCCTGGAATGTATCGTACCAGAAATATCGCTCGAATACATCCAGACATAGCCATAAGAGGTAATGGCTGGCACATGATACGTGAAAAGCTTGTCCTCCTGGATATCCGTAAAAGTTGGAACGATAGAGAGAAGATTTACTTTGCTTTCTTTATGTCTGCAGCACGTGAGACAAACGGTGACTGCCAGAGGTGCCCGTTGAAACAGCTTGAAGAACACTCATAATGATTGTATCTCATGTGAAAGATAGCTTTTATACATTCATTGTTACTCACGAAACACACTCACTCACAGACACACAAACAGACAAACACGCATGCACACACACACACACACACGCACACACACACACACACACACACACACACACACACACACACACACACACACAGATTGTATGGCCCACTGTTGAGTGCGTCCTTGATTATTTTTTTAACTTTTTCCGCTTTCCCAACTAGCATTTTTATGAGGGGCAGGTCAGGCGTGCTACCACACCCGGCCCCTCCCCAATTTTTTGGACCATAACTGTTTTTGAGGTTGCGCCGCATCATGTGTGCACCCATGCGTTTGTGTGCGCTATGCGCTGCACGTGCGACCATGGAGCGCACATGGTGCGCCGCATGCTTGTTCAACAGGTATAAGGTCCACGGTCAAACACGTCAACCTGTGCCCTCACTTGAGACAGTTGACTCTTAGAAAATCAAGAGTCAGGCCCAACCCGGGAAAAGCAGACAAAGAGTCAAAAATTTATCGGCAGTCGACCACAGTCATTGATCTGGTGCACAATCAAATGCTGTCTGCATTTGTTACAGAATATTCCAGGGCATACTGGGTCCAGGCTCACTGAAGCGGACAGCAAATCTGGGCCGCCCAGATTCAAAAACCTCAACTGTTGGAGGAGGCAGGTGGAGCCAGGCAAGAGCCGATCAACACTACAAAAGAGCGGCTTATTCATTCTGCATTGCAAACTCTGGTGGTCAGAGCACTGCTGGGCGAGGTAGAGAGGAGAGGCGAGGCTGGTGCCAGAGAGGGAAAGTGAGTGCCAGCCCAGGCAGGAGAGAGAGAGAGAGAGTGGTACCATAGCTAGGAAGGGCACCCTGGCGCCATAACTGTAGCATAGAGGTAGGGCAAGGAAGAGGTTGATCAGGACTGCGAGGAGAGAGAGAGAGGGAGTGGGAAGCTTACCTCAACTTACCTCTGCACTGGCGATACTGAAGCTGCTGATCACATCAGGAGGCTGAAGGAAGGCAGGCGTCAACCTCCATAGCCAGCATTGATGCTGGAGGTTGAGCGCCATAGTTGATACCTGCAGAGGTATTTTACCAGCGTCTTCAGGGAGAGACTTGCATACTGAGGTTGCAAGTTGGTGGGAGAAGGTCCTGGGCGTGCAGAGGGGTGGAAGAGCCGTTTCTATTGTATTATTGATTATTGATGAAGCTATTCTCCCTCTCTTTCAATTGCTTCTCTACCTTTGTCGTACTTCTGCTGATTCGCTAGTATATGCTGGGACAATATTGCATGCATCTACACTTATTCTGCATTGCAAGTGGTTCCATTTCGAGTGCGCTGTGAATACTAGCATGTTCGTTTTGTGGAAGCGTCTGATGATTGACGGGCTCGTTGCAAATGAATGTATTGCTTGATTTTTATGGGTGTGTGAGAGAGTGGATGAAAGGGAGGAGATGGAGTGTGTCAAGAGAGCGTAGAACGCAGAAAAGATGTGAGATGAAGAAAGTGCACCGAAAGTTTCCAAAAGTAAGCAGAAAACAGAAATTTGCTGACCACTCGATATTGAGAAAAAAAGCATGGAAAACAAAAGCCTCTTACTCTTTGTGGATGATATTATTGGCGTGTGGAGCAAATGAGAGTTCGTCATTGGCAAGTTGGCAATCCCAACGGGTGAGAGTCAAGTGTTTGTAAAACAGGTTACGTGTTGGGGATTCCGACATGCACAACTTAACCCTCGACTCTCTCAAAGCGTATTTTTTGAGCCCAGTTCTTACCATATCTTGGATGGGGGCACAGACAGACATGGACATGGACGGTATGTGTGTGTGTGTGTGTGTGTGTGTGTGTGTGTGTGTGTGTGTGTGTGTGTGTGTTTTGAGTGTGTGCACCACATGCACTCCAAGGCAAGATATTCTGTGCCTGGCCAATTCTCCGATACTTAAGTCGGCACATCCTTTAGCTTGGGAATCATTGCAAGTATGGCTTCGGCTTTTGATGTGGAAAAGAGGGGTTCTACTCATGGTTCAGTGCATCCCGCGAATGTTACTCAGGGGTCTGTCTCAATTAGCGGACACGACAGGCTAGCAAGTGCTCCTGGGTAGTCCCTGTGTGATCACTTCGCCATTCGTCACTGGAGGATATGAAAACTGACCTACTTGTCTTTGTTCAAGATCAAATTTTAAACAGCAGAAAAAGGTGAAGAGAAGGAGATGAAGAGGAGGAAGAAGGATTTTTAGCCTCATTCTATAGTATGCGAAAGAATCACGGCGCGTGCCGTTTTCCACTGTCGCGTGCACAATCTCCGACTATTGACTTGCAGTGATGTGATTAGTGTGATGACAGAGTTAATTAATATTTTAGTCACGCTCCTATTCTGGTAACGGCGATTTAGTAAGTATAAAGAATACGGTGCTTTAGCCTTTCAACGGATTTCACCATGACGGTTTTCCTTAGATTGGTTCGTCACGATGGTCGCTCGTACACCCTGTCATAGATACTAGAGAGGGTGTAAGCGGCGATCATCGTCCCGAGCTGCTCTGGGGAAAGTTCGTCTGTGAGTGCCTTAACAGGTTTAAAATTTGAAGTTCGTCTCAACGACTACTCTACCTACATCTCCCAGTCTAACCCATCGCATGCCGATTCATTGCATTGTTAAAGGGGAGAGAGAGAGAGAGAGAGAGAGAGAGAGAGAGAGAGAGAGAGAGAGAGAGAGAGAGAGAGAGAGAGAGAAGGAGAAGAAGAAAAAAAAGGAGAAAAGAAAAAGAAAAAAGGAAAAAGGAAAAAGAGGGGAAAAAAAGGGGAGAAGAAAGCAGAAATCCCGGTGCAATCCTATCTCAAGTTCACAACCAGATCCTACTCAGCTTACATTGCTAACCTCCCCATCATGCGTTTGGTCTCAAATCAAGATGAATCACATTTTCCATGCACATGGAAATATTAATTCGAGTATCTAATGTTAGTATCCGAGCCCATATCCGACGTTAGCATTATAAGACTCATTGATTAGTTTTTATCAAAGAAAGGGGATCATGACATATAAAAAAAGGGACGCCAAATTAACCGTTTTCTAATGCAAGTAAAAGAGTTGGAAAAAATCACACCAAGCAGGGCGAAAAAATGAAAAAAAGTCCACACCAAATCAACCATTCCAATGCAAGTAAAAAAGTTGGAAAAATTTAAACCAAGCCCATTAGCACGCGAAAAAAGGTTCACATCAAGCCGATCGACTCATTATGAGCAAAAAAAGTTCTCTCCGATCAATTTAGCCAAACAGAAGAAGAAGAAGAAGACCTCTCGTGATCCAATGTCGACATGACAGCACGCTTTCCTCATAGTGACGATGCTCCGTGGATCACCAGGAAAAAGAAGACAGATACGAAACAACAAGAAGAAGACGATCCTGTACCATGCCTCTTAGTCCTGACACCGCAGCAGATCCGCAGGAGGGAGTGGAACATGAGGCCTTTCTGCCGCCTGCCACACGCGGCTTCATCAGAGGGAGAACCTTTTCCTTTGTTGTCGGAGAAGGGGAAGACACAAGAAAGACAGTTGGAACAAACGAAGAAGCAGCAGCAGAAGAGGAAGAAGAAGAAGAAGCAGCAGCTATAAGCAAAAAAAGGGGGGGTGTATGGGAGGGGGTAGGGGGGTTGGGGGTTGGGGTTGGGGGGCGCTGCTCATCTCTACTGCGCGCAGTTCTGGTCACGAGCTCAAATATACCGCGATCATCCCGCCTGGCGAGAGTGCTAGCACTAGGGAAGCATATCCAATCGTGAGGTATATCAACGTCGTGGCTTGCCTTGCTGGCGCTAACAGCACCTGTTCTGATTGACAAGCCCATACCGCCATGCTGCAGATGATGGCATTCGGTAGCATGGCAAGAATGAGGATGATTGCGTCGAAGGTTGCACGCGATGTGCTTAGTGATGGGCCACCCGCTGCCTGCCTGCTGGGGGGGAAGGCTTGCGATGGATTGCGTGCATCCATATCCAGGGGTGGATCCAGTGGGGGATGTAGGGGAGCGTGGTGCGTGACTGGAGAGGGCTCCTGCGTGCAAGATGAAGATGCAGCTGTGGGCGTGGGGGGGATGCTAACGCTCCCATGCGCAAGTACTCCGTTCGTGTGCGGTGGCAGGGTGGTGAGTGGGATAGGTAGTGGGAGGGCCGCGATGAAACACAGGAGCGCTATGCATGCGAGCAGAGCGAGGTAAGCAAGGAAAGCACAGGTAGGCATAGCATACGCCCCTCGTTCATCATCGAGGTCCGCCATATTGGCTGCGTGCTGCTGCTGCAAAAAGACTATGACGCATGTAGACGGAGCAAGGTCGGAGTTATACCACTTTTTCATCGTTGGCCGGCTCCTCCAAGAGGTCGAGATCCACGAGGAAGTCCATTCCGACCGAGAGTCGCCGCGATCTGATGTAAAAAGTCCGTTCGTTCGATCGAACAAGTTCACCGAAATCTTCGCCCTCAATCACCCCTGAGTAATGATTGATGAGTTCTGACAGTGCCCCTCGCCCATTTAAACCAAAAGAAGAGCCCACTGTGCCTCTTCATGAAACCTGAGTTGCCCGGGTCCTCCCCCCCTGTGCGAAAGTGTCGCCCTGCCGCTAAAACCATCGTCATTCCCTCTGAATATCACACATTGCGTTTGAAACCCTCCCGCCTCGTCGTGCCGCTAACCGGATGACTAAAATCGGCTCATTGATATCACCCTCGATCCCACCCTGCTTTCAAAATACAGGACTCGTGCTCGAATCATCCTCGCCCTTCTTCCAAAGATTCACACAAGCTGTTCGCCTCTCCAGGGTACCCCGCCCTTTACGCTGCGCGTGTCTGGAGGGTCTAGGAGGAACTGGAATCGTCAACTTTCGAGCGCCCTCGGTTACCCAAGTGGTGACAGCTCCCCCATTACCCAGGTAAGCGCCCGGGTTAACGTACCTTTTGGAGTTGGTGGTGGTTCGAATCAAGATAAAAAAGCGCAAAGGCACGGCTACATGCGTTCTAACAATCCATCTCCTATGGTTTTAGTGTACAAATCGGAGTTCGAGCCTCGGCTCGTTTCGAATTTCCGAAAACAAGGGATATCAAGGCGGAGGAGTTATTGGCTTGCCTGTCTGATCCCCCCGGTTCTCCACTTGATACGTGGGGAGATCAGTGGCGACGCCTGGGTGCAAGGCTAGTGATGCTCGCCTGCCTTATTACTTCAGAAAGAAACAAATTAAGAAAGAAACAGAAGAAAGAACAAACTAAAAGAAGGAAAAAGGAGGAAAAAAGAACAGAAAAAAGGGAAAAGGGAAAAAGAAAACAGAGAAAAGAAATCAGAAAAAAATCAGAGAAAAATCAGAAAAAATAGGGAGAAAAGTGTTTTCTTTGGAGAAAGGGCAGAGAGCCGTGCAGCTCAAAGGGAGGGTGCCGACAAATTTACCCTTCCTTTTGGGGTTGCTCCTGGGTTGCTCATCCAATCTCCCTGTTTCTGTTTGCTCCCTCTTTTTTCTTTTAACCCTGTATGCGCGTGTGTGTGTGTGTGTGTGTGTGTGTGTGTGTGTGTGTGTGTGTGAGAGAGAGAGAGAGAGAGAGAGAGAGAGAGNTGTGTGTGTGTGTGTGTGTGTGTGTGTGTGTGTGTGTGTGTGTGAGAGAGAGAGAGAGAGAGAGAGAGAGAGAGAGAGAGAGAGAGAGAGAACCCTGATTATGGGCCTGATATTGTACGGATATGTTCTTCTTTTTCCCCATTGGTGTGGGTGTAGCCGCACTGGTGTTGTATAACAAACAACTTTTGGATTAGAGCCGACATCCTTTTTTTTTTTTTTTGACAAAAACAGGACCTTATGTCCCTGGCTCCGTATCCATTCTGGGGAGTGTCAGTGCGGTTCCTATTCCCCGGCAAGTCAAAATAGTAGGATACATCATTTACAGACTCACTCTGCCATTCGGGCGAAGGATCCCTGACCAGCATTGATTGCTCCATGTTACCGGAGGATGACTGTAAGCTTGCCCTTCTCATGTATTCCTCTGAGGTTGCGTCTGAGAACCTGTCAGCTTTGTATATTCACATCAAGAATCACAAGAAGGCATCATTTCTTCCGCTCCTATTTCCGTCCTTGAGTTCGTCTTTTCATCTTGTCAATCCTCCACTGATGTGACCATCCTTCTGGTCCTCATGGCCTCGCTGAGCTCTGGGATCTCTCTATGTGGGAGTTTTGCCTCTTTGAGTCTTTTTTAAAGTTTTATTATTATTATCATTATTATTATTATTATTATTAAGAAAAACAGGTCCTTATGGCCCTGCCTAGATATCCATTCTGGGGAGCATCAGTCCAATTCTTATTCCACCGGCAAGTCAAAATACAAGAAGAATACCCTCACGCTTCCTTTCCATTTGGCCGAACGACCCCTGAACAGCATTGATTGCTCCAGAAGCCTGGAGGATTGATTGTCAGCTTGCCTTCCCCCTTACCTTTCCTCTCAATTTTTTTTTTTACCCCCCCGTATTCCTTCCTTTATGTGTGTCGTCGTTGCGCAGGGGGCATGCTAATCTTCTCTGTATCGTTCCAATTTTAACGGATGTCCCAAAGGTGCAAGGAATATGAGCGAGAGCGATAGACAGAAGACCAAGTTGCAAAATCACAAAGTAGTCCAGATAGTCGTGTACCAAGCAGAGAGCACAAATGCACCAAGATACCATCCAAATAAGAGCAGTACAAGGAACCCGTGTGCCAATGTCAACGCTCTCTGGCCACAACAACACAGTATCCAATGTCGCTCGTACAGTCTGGCGCCCAGCGCCCAGCCTACGCTACTCAGCCTATTTATCCTATCTACGTTCATGCAACAGGATCACTATGATGTTGAAGACCAATTTTCGTGACATCAACACCAATGCAGACCGCCAAGATACACCAGGTATGTTCTCTCTCCTCCCCTCATCATGCCCTGTCTCCCCTCTGCATGCGTGTCCTACCCGAAGAGGACCATCGCCATCACCTGCCTGCGCCCCAGCAGCCCGGCTATGGCCGCCGTGCGCCCACTGCCTCAGCAGTGCCCCTCTCACCTCAGCGCCCGTGCGTGCGTCTGGCCCGCAGCGGTAATGCAGCTGCTCGTGTGCGAGTGCAGCAGCGTGGCCGCATTGCCCACCAAGGCCAGAATGCCCTCCTCGGGGGCACACACTTTCCTTTATGGAAAGTCTGCCCGCTGCTGGCTGGCCTGGCCAGGCATGTGGGAGGGGCCCAATCTGGGCCCAAGTGTCTGCGCCCAGGCCCAGTTTCAGATACTGGCCTGGGCCTCGTGCAGTTAGGCACATTCAGGCAGCCACCCAGCCTCAAAGTGTTCGCAGCATTCTCATTGGCTCGCGGTGCATGTGTGACGACAACGCTGCTCTCTCATTGGCCCGTGGCCAGTCCGTGACGTGTCGGCCTCACACAGCATGTGCCCAGGTTGCAACCGCCTGAGTCCTGGGCTCAACTGTACAGCGCAGCCCTTGCTTCTGGAAAGAGCCTGGAGTCTCACGTTGCTCTGTAACCAACTGGCGTGCTGCAACTGTCTGATTCCCCACATATGGAAATGGTGAAAATACACCTCACGTGGATATTCAGGCCCGCCTTCACTTAGGGCGGTCACGGGGTTGCTGAGGGCCACAGCCCAGAACACTTGCATGTCTGATAACGGCCCCGCGAGGGCACATTCCTCGCGAAGGACTTTTCCTCTCAGGTTTGTTTTCCCAACCCTGCGTGAAACCAAGAAATTACAAAGAGATGAAGCAGCCAAACGGCCCTGACATGTGTCAGGGTTGTTGTGCTGGAAATCTAGTCTTGTAGATTGTTGACTGTTTCTTTGTAGATCTCCTCTTCTCTGCCATGCCACCAATTTTTTTTATTATTTTCACAATTTTTTGGTTCGTTCAATTCTTGCGCTGGGACTGCCCAGGCCTTGTCCTGCTTTGCCTGCCCGGGTGGAACTTGGGCAACCCATTGAAGGCCCAGGCCTCAGCCTAGGTGTCAAACGAGATGGATATGCGGCCCGCATTATCAAGTTTTGTTAGCAGACTGTTCTGAAATCAAGAGTCTCAATTTTTCTCCAGCAGTCTGAATGTGTTGGTGACTCTAAACATCGCTGAATGTCTGAGTGAAAGTTGCCTTATTCAGCGCTTAGGCTGAGTGAAAGTTTCTGAGTGAATATGAAGTTAGAATTAGTGCTTGCCTCGAGCTCGGAGTCCAGCTCCAGTGCAGAAACTCAGATCCACAAGGACCCAATCAGAGACATGGTACCAAAGAAGTGGAAGCCCTCAAAGGGCAGGGTCAAGAGACCCAGAATGTGTTGGTGACTCTAAACATCGCTGAATGTCTGAGTGAAAGTTGCCTTATTCAGCGCTTAGGCTGAGTGAAAGTTTCTGAGTGAATATGAAATTAGAATTAGTGCTTGCCTCGAGTTCGGAGTCCAGCTCCAGTGCAGAAACTCAGGTCCACAAGGACCCAATCAGAGACATGGTACCAAAGAAGTGGAAGCCCTCAAAGGGCAGGGTCAAGAGACCCAGAAAGTCCACAACGGACACGATAGGAAATGGCGACGAGCAGCGATCCCTCAAACAGGAGATCGCCATCGTCGCTGCTCAGACAAAGTGCCTGTTTGATCAAAACTCGGAATACCGAAAAAGCCACAAAAAAGAGTACTGCACCATCCAAACGTGGCAGACAACAAGGCCCCCCTTGTCACTGAGAAATCTACCTCAGATCGCAAAACGATCAAGTCAGTCAAACCCTTGGTCCCTATCCGGTATAGAAAGAAGTTCGGGGAGTGGCAGGTAGCCACAGACGTATCCTTCGCCTTCCCGACCTCGGGTGACCATCGAACACTGGCCAGAACAATCAGGGAAGGCATATCTGAAGACTCCCCCTTAGGTGTCTAGAGAATCCCCCCTCCCCCTCGGGAAAGACTCAGACGAGATCGACCAGGAACTCACCACAGCCAGATCTGTTGAACCATTCCTTGTAAAGTTAGAAGAAAAATCGAGGCTGCACGAGGGGCTGGTGT